GCTTGTCTTCTGTAATGGAAGATGAAATAGAAGACTATAGATTCAAATAAAATGGTTGCATATTTTTCAACTCAGACTCCACCTCTGCCTTGTTCCTATATTGTTTTATTTTGGAAATTGTGAATCTCCATAACTTTTTGGAAAATAACTGGTCACAGGAAAGGCATGACCTTGTTAGAAGTCACAATCTTTTTGGAAATGCTGCCATAACATTTTTGGGAAAATGGTATTCACCATAATTTATGCAAGACAACCAGGTTTCTCAGCTGTTAAACTGATGTACCTAGGTATCTCCTTGAACTGTTAGGGACAAAGATATGCAAATGCACAAAAAATATCTGTATTCAACAGTTTCAGGAATGTTCCTTTTAGTTGCCCCAAAACATCTACTTTCCCTTAAAATACATTTGTGTTTAAATCATGCTTTCAAGTGACAAAATAACCAGACTTTTAAAAAGTAACATAATTGGTTTACTCACAAACTTCATCTATTCTGCATACAGGTACTTCATTTATCAATCCAGTTACAAATAAGATTTGAAGTAGTTTTTCTGTGAAGATAACACAGGGCATTATTCTTAGAATCAATAGTCCAAATTCCAAAGCATCTCTCTGTTCTGAGAGTCTAGTAGAGTCTAGTCTGAAAGTCCAATGAAGTCTCTAAGCATACTGTTCCTACTGAAGTCCAAAAACAAAACACTGTTTGAAAATGGAGTCTGAGCTCCAATATGCTGATGGCTACGTTGCCTATGCGCATTTGGCACCAGCCATACATACTCCCTAAGGCAGGAGTTCTCAAACCTTTTCAGCCATGGAGCCCTTTTTGAAGCCAACATTTATTGTGGAGTCCCAAAAAATGTTATTTTTATATATATATATATATATATATATATATATATATATATATATCAGGCATGGGCAATTTTGACACATTGTTTTTTTWAAAAATTTGACTGATGGGTCAGGCCAGTGGCAGATGGATGGAGAGTGTTTCTGTGAACTGATTGGGGAAATAAACCAAATTCCTATACACACTGCACGTATCTRGTTTGTAGTGCAAAAAGAAAAGAAGAAGGAAGGAAAGAAGGAAGGAAGAAAGGAAAGAAAGAAGGAAAGAAAGAACAATACAATATTTAAAATGAAGAACAATTTTAACCAACATAAACATAAACTGTTTGGCCTAGCTTTCCTGTCCAAACGTATCTCCCTTTATGAACCACCTCAGAGGTTAAGATCTTCTGGGGAGGTCCTGCTCTCAGTCCCACCTCTTTTACAGGTGTGGCTGGTGGGGACCTGGGACAGGGCCTTCTCAGCGGTGGCCCCTCAGCTGTGGAACTCCCTCCTCAGTGAAATCAAATCAGACCCCTCCCTCCTGACCTTCAAAAAAGAAAGTAAAAACATGGACGTGGGACCAAGCTTTTGAACAGTAATTTTTTCAGTGTAATAAGTGAATACAGAATTGTACAATGACTACTAGAACAGCTTTGGACTATGATTTTGGATTATGTGGTGTTAATAATTGGTTTTAATATTGAGTTCAGATATTTTTTAACTTTTTGGTTTTATTATATATGTTTATTTCATTTGTATTTATGTTTGTGTGGCATTGAATATTGCCTTTTGTAAGCTGCACCCCGAAGGAGACTTCTCACCCTGAGTCTCCTTCGGGGTGAGAAGGTCGAGGTATAAATATGATAAATAAATAAAACAAACAACAGTATGTCAGTGGAAGGCTGCAGGTATCATCCTGTCCAGCCCCCTTCTGCCATGCAAGAAAAGCGCAATCAAAACACCCCCAGCAGATGCCCACCCAGCCTTTGTCGGAGTAGTAGTAGTCATAGTAATAGGAGCAACCCCAGGGACCATCCTGTCCAACCCCCTGCCATGCAGGAAAAGCACAATCAAAGCATCCTCTGATCAGTGGGAGGAAAATAGAGTGTTGGAAGCAAGAAAGGAAAAGAGGAAAGGATTTGAGAGGCAAGGGAGGTAAGTAAAAAACGTATTGGAGAAAAGATGAATAGATATCAAGGACGCTAAAAGACAAATAAATGAGCCCTAAAGCAAAGCAACAGTGAAGTCTCCCTAGAAGCCATGGTGACTAAACTAACATTGCCATACTTTGGCCATACCATGAGGATACATGACTCACTAGAAATGATTGTATAATGTTTGGTAATGTAGAAGGCAGTAGAAAAGAGGAAGACTGCATTCCAGATGGATGGACTCAATGATGAAAGCCATGGCTCTGAGTCTACAGGGCCTGAGGAAAGCAATTGACGACAGAAGGACTTGAAGGTTTCTCATTCATAGAGTTGCCATAAGTCAGAGTTGGCTTGAAGGCAGTTAACAACAGCAGCAGCAGCCTGTGGCCATACCACCCTGAACAACTGCAACGAAAGATTGGATGGTACAATTCCATTATCTGGATGGAGGCCACTAGAGGGTGCTAGAGAGAGAGTGATAGTTCATTTTATGAGGGGTGAGGGGAAGAGGGCAGTTGAAGGAGGTTAACCATTTCCCCTATTTTTGCTGGTTATTTCCCTTCCCCACTTCCCATATCATAAACAAAGGAACGGGGACATGGCAGGGGAGAATAACACAAAAACAAGGGGAAATTGTTTTCCTCCTTCAGGCCCTCCCCTGCCAATTACATGGGCCATCCTTCTCTCTCTAGTGCCCCCTAGTGGCCTCTGCCCAGATAATGGAACAGTATTTCCAGTATTGCCTTTTTACCCTGCTCAGGAGCCCCTAGTGTCGCAATGGGTTAAACCATTGTGCTGGCAGAACTGCTGACTAAAAGGGAGTGGAGGTGAGCTCCCGTCTGTCAGCTCCAGCTTCTCATGTGGGGATATGAAAGAAGCCTCTCACAGGATGATAAAACATTGAGGCATCTACTAGGCAATGTCCTTGCAGACAGCCAATTCTCTCACAACAGTAGCTACTTGCAGTTTCTCTAGTTGCTTCTGACACATATACACACACACACAAAACTCAGCTCTATATCACTCTGGAAGGGACTCAGAGTGGCTTCCAGTTTGGCAAGAATTCAGTGCCACATTGAAACATTAAAGCATACAAATCCACAACATATTAGACATTAAATTCAGAGCGTAAAATATATAAATACAATTAAATAACTGTTAAAAACGTAGCACTAAATCCTGCAATCTTATAGTCTGATTTTATCAAGTGGGTTAGTGTTTTTTAATATATCTTTGCAATGCACACACCTGACTTATTTGCAGGACTCCCATTTTAATTGCCTTTTTAATTGTCCTATATTGACACATGGCACTGGACGACTCTCTTTGGGAGTAAGGCCTCACTGAGGATGCATCTACACTGTAGATTTAATGCAATGTAGCACCACTTTGACTGCTAGAACTGTGGGATTTGTAGTTTGGTGAGGCACACTTGGAGAGAGATGGCTAAAGACCACATACAGTAGTGTTTCTCGACCTGGGGGTCAAGATCTCTGGGGGAGGGGTGTCACGACGGGATGTCAGGTGTTCACCAAAAACCATCAGAAAGCACAGTATTTTCTGTTGGTCATGGGGTTCTGTGTGGGAAGTTTGGCCCAATTCTATTGTTGGTGGGGTTCAGAATACTCTTTGATTGTAGGTGAACTATAAATCCCAGTAACTACAACTCCCAAATGTCAAGGTCTATTTCCCCAAACTTCACCTTTGTTCATATTTGGGCATATGGAATATTTGTGCCAAGTTTGGTCCAGATCCATCATTGTTTGAGTCCACTGTGCTCTCTGGATGTGGGTGAACTACAATTCCCAAACTCAAGGTCAATGCCCACCAAACCCTTCTAGTGTTTTCTGTTGGTCATGGGAGTCCTGTGTGCCATGTTTGGTTCAATTCCATCATTGGTGGAGTTCAGAATGCTCTTTGATTGTAGGTGAACTATAAATCCCAGCAACTACAACTCCCAAATGTCAAGGTCTATTTCCCCCAAACTCCATCTGTGTGCATACTTGAGCATATGGAACATTCATATGCTCAAGTATGCACACATACTTGTTTGAGTCCACAGTGCTCTCTGGATGTTGGTGAACTACAACTCCCAAACTCAAGGTCAATGCCCATCAATGCCCATGTTGGTCATGGGAATCCTGTGTGCCACGTTTGGTTCAATTCCGTCACTGGTGGGGTTCAGAATGCTCTTTGATTGTAGGTGAACTATAAATCAGCAACTACAACTCCCAAATGACAAAATCCATTTTTTTTAGTGATGGTCACTCGTTGGCCTGATAGGCATATTGTATCCAAATTTGGTGTCAATTCATCCAATGGTTTTTGAGTTTATGCGAATCCCACAAACAAACATTACATTTATATATATATAGACTAGCGGTCCTCTGCCATGCGTTGCTGTGGCCCAGTATGTGTTTATGTGTTTTGTGTGTATGTATATATATTATATATGTGTATATTTCTGTTTGCGTGTATATATATATATATATATATATATATATATATATATATATATATATGGTTTTGTGCCTGCATTGTAATGTATTTTTTTTGTTTTTGGCTTTTTACGTCTCTTCTGCTGTGTTTTTCAGTGTTTTTATGAGTGATGGTCACTTATTGGCCTGACAAGTGTCTTGTGGCCAAATTTGGTGTCCATTCGTCCAGTGGATTTTGAGTTATTTTAATCCCACAAATGAACATTACATTTTTATTTATATAGATAGAAGATATATATTGTTATGGTTGTACAGGATTCTATAGCCTTGAGCCATGGTCCTTGAAGTGGTGTCAAACTGCATTGATTCTCCAGTGTAGTCCTAAGCTGTGCTTGCAAGGAGGCTTCCCAGCAGGTTCAAGCAGGTGAGAGAGGAGCTGCATCTCCCTTGCAGAAGGACTGGGCAAGAGCAGCCACTGTGCGTCGGGCTCCTCTCAGGTGCTGGGAACACGGGCTGAGTGGCTTTACCTGAAGCAGCCCTGCCTCGTTCTGCGCCTGCGCAGAGGGAGGGAGCGCCTGGGCTGCTCCTGCTTGGCTGCAGTGAGGCAGAGAGAGAGGGAGGAGGAGGAGGCAGCAGCAGCAGGCAAGGAGGGAGCTGGCGGTTCCCAGAGTTGAGCAGCCAGCAATTCAAGCCCTGCGGAGTCCCAGGCACCAGGCAGAGAGGTAAGTCCGTGGGGATGGGGAATCTCCTCCTTATCTTTGGGAGAGAGCTTGAGAAACAATGGCCCTCTTTTTTCCCTTTCCCCTCTGTGTCTGAGAAAGAAGGAAGGGGCATCCCTATCTCCCCCTTCCTCCTTTTGGAATGACCCACTCATTCAGAGTACAATGCTATCTATATGGAGATGCCTTTCAACCCAACACCTTTTTTCTCTCAGCTGGCCTCAAAGGTATTACAGGATCCCTTTGATACCCTGAAGCAGGGTATAGTAAACCTTGCCAGATCTTTGAGTACTATTATTGCAAAGATGGGTTTTCATGTCTTTTTCTTGTGTCTTGATGGTCCTTTTGTTTTAGGTGCATTTAGTTTAACTATGCATTGTTTCCCATTCCCAGCCACAAGAAGAGGTAGGGAACAAGTAAAATGCATTATTCTTATTGCCATTATTATTGGTATGGGGAATATCTTTGCAGCCACATCTCTTAAGACCTGCCTTGGCTGAAAAAGTCCAGTTCAGTAGATTATGGTTTTTAGTGAAGGGGAAGTAGGGGAGGTTTGGGGAGGACAGTTTAGCCTTGGCGGTTAAAAAAGCAAATATATACAATATATATGTATATGTGTGTGTGTGTGTGTGTGTGTGTGTGTGTGTATATATATCCCCATGAAATATACTGTATTTTTTGGTTTGCTAGACAGATTTATGTCTATATATGTATTTATGTGTGAGAGAGTGTTTATAAGTGTGTGTGTCTGTATATATATACGGTAGAGTCTTGCTTATCCAACCTTCGCTCATCCAACATTCGGTAACCAATGCAGCCTGCCTCCCACCCAGATCCACAGCTGTTTCAATACATTGCAATGTTTTTGGTGCTAAATTCGTAAATACAGCAATTACTACATAACGTTACCGTGTATTAACCGCTTTTTCTGTCGATTTGTTGTAAAACACAATGTTTTGGTGCTTAAATTGTAAAATAACATAATTTGACATTTAATAGGCTTCTCCTTAATCCCTCCTTATTATCCAACATTTTTGCTTATCTAATGTTCTGCCGGCTGGTTTATGTTGGATAAGCGAGAGTCTACTGTATATGCAATATATTTATGGAATATTTATATTCCATAAATATATTTATAATACAGTTCCTCTTGTTGCATGTGTGTGTGTGTCTATGTATGTGGTGTGTGTATCTCTCTCTCTTGAAATATACTGTATGTATTAGTTTACTAGACATATTTATTGATGTGTATACTATATATGTATGTGTGTGTGTATTTCTCCTTCCCCATTCAATGTGGCTCCTTTTTTCACACATTACAATGGATTGCCCCATAGCTCCTCAGCAGAACCTGCGGTGGCCCAATGGGTTAAACCCTTGTGCCGGCTGGACTGCTGACCTGAAGGTTGGGTCACTAACCTGAAGGTTACCGGTTCAAATCCCCAAGACTGGGTGCGATTCCATCCATCAGCTCTAGCTTGCGGGGTCATGGGAGAAGCTTCCCACCAAGATGGTCACACATCTGGGCATCCCCTGGGCAACGTCTCTGTAGACGGCCAATTCTCTCACACCAGAAGCGACTTGCAGTATGTTCTCAAGTCGCTTCTTTTTTAGCTCTTCATCACAGTTGACTTTTAGTTCTTTTAGTCCCTTCCATAAGGATTTTTTTCCCACACAGAAACCCTCATTGAAATGTATTCCCTTTTCTCCCCTGCTATGATTTCTCACCATTCATGTTTGTTTTTACCTCTCAAATTTTAAAGTTTTTTTTATAATGGAAGGAGGCGGTTATGCTGGTTTAGGAAATGGGTAGCTCTTGTTGGCTCCAGAGATTCACCTTCACTCTTTCTCTCTCTCTGTATTGCTGAAGTCTGACTATGTGCTTTCCCCCCCTCTCCTTCCCTCAAATAAAATGACTTAGCAATGGGAGGGAGAAGGACGTTTTCTCCCCTCCCTTTCAGTTGTAATAAGGAGCTTGGTGGCTCCTTGGCTTCGACAGATTGAGCTTGCAAATAATCCCACGGGGTTCCTAGTTGCTGTCAGGGCTCTGGAGGACCATAAAGTTGAAGGAGAGGGACTTTTTGGAGAGAAGAGGGAGAGGAGGAAAGAGCGCTCCTGGCAGGAGGTGACTCCTCCGCTGGGGTGCATCGACATTCATGCAGTTTAACACCCCTCAAACCACCATGGCTCAATGCTGTGGAATCTTGTGATTGTAATTAGGTGAGACACCAGCATGCTTTGGCAAAGAAGGCGAAAGACCTTGGGAAATCACACCTCCTAGGATTCCATAGCATTGGGAACTGGCAGTTGACGTTAAACTGAATTCATGTTACAGTGTAGATCTTGCCATGGACTGCTATCCTCTGCTTTGTCTTTGTGGCTTGGTGGGAGAGCCCAAGTCACCTGAGACCCTCTTTTCTCTTCTGGAAAGCCTCAAAGGACCTCTGAAGAAGTCCTTTTTTCCATTCAGAGAGGAAGGGAGTCCCATTGGATGTGAACAGGTGGGGAGCCTCTGAGGAACACGAGCGAGCTTTGCGGGAAGTGGTTGAGGGACCTGGAAAGGGATGTCTGCATTTGTATGAAGGAATTTCTCTTTGAGTTCATCGACACTGTAGAATCATTGCAGTCTTACATACTTAAGCGAGCCCTTGTTCTCTAAGTATGATGGCTTTCCAAGTGCAGTTTCTTGATGGTGGATCCGTAGGTGACTGTGGAGCATGTTCTTCCACAGTGAAGGCATCAGTTTCCTGGTGGAAGGTGGTCTTGGTCAGGGTTGGCTTGATGCACCTTCCTCTTGGCATGTTTCTCCCTTTTCCCCTCCATTCATAGAATCATAGAATCACAGAATCATAGAGTTGGAAGAGACCTCATGGGCCATCCAGTCCAACCCCCTGCCAAGAAGCAGGAAAATAGCATTCAAAGCACCCCTGACAGATGGCCATCCAGCCTCTGTTTAAAAAGCCTCCGCCACTCCATTTGTGCCACTTCAAATTCCACAGCACTGCTGGTCACAGCTGACCTCCAGTTAGAGTGTTCAAGGGCCAGGGCTTCCCAGTTCTTGGTGTCTATGCCACAGTTTTTAAGGTTGACTTTAAGCCCCTCTTTAAATCTCTTTTCCTGTCCACCAATGTTACATTTCCCATTCTTGAGTTGGGAGCATAGTAACTGCTTTCAGAGATGGTGATTAGGCATTCAGACAAAGTGGCCAGTCCAGTGGAGTTGATGGCGTAGGAGCATCACTTCAATGCTGGTGGTCTGAGTTCATCTGCATTGTAGAATCATCGCATCCTAACATCATTTTAACTGCTGTGGCTCAATGTTGGGGAACCCTGACAGCTATGAAGTAACAAGACCTTGCCAAAGAAAAAGAAATGTCAAATTCCTGGATTCAGTAGCATTTAGCCGGGGCAGTTAAAGTGGAGTCAAACTGTATGGGAGTTGGCCTCTATCTGACAGTAGCCGGCCTCTATCTGACAGTAGCCGGGTTATGTTTAATTGGTCTTTTCTCTTCCCCTTCAGGATCCACCCAGAAATAAAACAGTCAATAAAAAAGAGAAAGGCCTGGGAGGGTGAGGATGAGGTAATGGGCCTTTAACCCTTTTTGTTGCTGTCCTCAAGTGAGATGTGTTTGGGGGTCTTTCCCAAAGGAATACTCCCCGCTGATGCTTATTATTTCCCTTGCATTTTAAACAACAAAACGCTGCAGTCAAAACACCGGCTAGTTGTAAGTACTGACATTTCTAATTCTCTCTCTTCTGCAGCTGTCCTGAATGAAATGGAGAAAGGGCAAATGCAGTTTAAGGCTTTTTAATGATCAACTTGTGGTAGCACTTTCCCACTTGCCATACCCCTCTTGGGTGGTCTCTTAAAGACAAGACAACTCTATTCTTCTGTATTCACATATGCACCCCCACTTTTTTTTGTTTAGATCACGGGACAAACTTCTTGGTTAGGAAGTGTGGACTGGAAGCAAAGGAAATTTGAAATTCTCTTCTTTCTTAGATGTTTAAAGCTGGGAATTGTCTCTTTTCAGAACACCAGTAACTTTTAAAAGTGTATGTTAGTAGCAAGCAATATGGGCAGTGTGGCTTTGTTGCTGGAGCAAAGATAAATGTGGTGGTGAATCTGGTTTAGAGAAGTATGAGAGCTCTTTGCAAGAGGTGTATAAGGTAATGATTCTTTCTTGAATGATTATGGAAATTCTCCCTTTTCAGCAGTAGATTTGTTGGGTTGTTGTAGGTTTTTCGGGCTATATGGCCATGTTCTAGAAGCTTTCTCTCCTGACGTTTTGCCTGCATCTATGGCAAGCATCTTCAGAGGTTGTGGGGTCTGTTGGAAACTAGGAAAATTGTGGATTTGATTTGTTGTTGAAGTCAAGATATCATGTGGGTTTCAGGAGAGAGCAGCATACCATCTTCTACATTTAGTGTGGCAGAGCGGACTTGCAGCTTTTCTTTAATTTTGTTGTCAAAGGCTTTCATGGCTGGAATCAATGGGTTGCTGTGAGTTTTCCGGGCTGTTTGGCCATGTTCCAGAAACATTCTCTCCTGATGTTTTGCCCACATCTATGGCAGACATCCTCAGAGGTTCAGGGTTGCTAGTCCATGCCTGAACTAAGAGAAAAGGTTAAAGTTTATTCCTCTTTCAGGAGAAAGATTCACTTCTATATTAAGTTCGTTGTGCTTTCAATATACACATGTTACTCACTTTACCTTTTCAAGTGAATATGTATGACTTTCCACACTTGAGCACTATGATGAAACCTTGTGGTACACAAAGCTTCAAGTGTCATTGTACTTCTGATAGGAAAGCAGTTTGAACTCCAAATAGTTTGTGATGCTCAGCATTCATTGGCCATGTTAAGATCTCTGTGTGATTCACTTTTATTATCTTGGGCAAAACCATTTATTGCTATTCACAGAGACTGGTGCTGCATATTCTGATAGTGTGAATCAGTCTGAGTATAATCTTCTAATCATTTTCAATATCAAGAGAAAGGCAAA